GGCAAACCCGGAAGCCCGGGCCCAGCCGCGACAGCGAACAGCCGCCCGAAGCCCCCACACCCGGCAGCCTCTGCGGCAGAGGCGAGAGGCGGGGCTTGCGTGGACCCAAGAGCCACCCCGCGCTTCTCATTGGACAAAGGCCCTTGTCAATCCCTGAGGAAAGGCGATTGGACGAGACCGGACATCCGGGACGACCATCTTTGAGTGAAGGGCGGGGTTTGGGGCGGAGGGAGCCAATGGGAAGGTGCAGTATCCAATGGCAATCAAGAGCTTCGCCTTTGCAGAGATTGGCAGATGCTCGATCCACTGAGGTGCCGCGGAGGGATACCCGCCGTGGAAAGTGAGGTTCAAACCCGTGTGTTTTGTCCCCGTGTGGGCTTCCTCCGAGTGCGTAAAGTGAGCGATTAGTTAACGCGTCAATGAAGGGCCTTTCCCCAGTATCATGGCTTTCAACCAAGGCTGCGGAGTTTGGTAGGTGTTTCCTGGCATTGCCTTGGCCTCTGGACCCATTCGTGCCACGCCCCCTCCCGTACGCAGAACCGGGGCTGGGCGGCCGGCGCTGCACCCCGAACCACGGCCCAAATAATGGGAAATGTGTGCTGTTAGGGGTATTAGAGCTAAGACGGATGGATGATGGTCAGTAGGAAGCAGGGAGAGACAGAAACGGACAGTTTACGGGGTGGGGGGTGGGATGTAAGGAGCCCTTAAACACTTGATTGGATGCTCAACCTCTTTCATTAAAAAAGTGCAAATTAAAACTTCACTGAGCTAACATCCTGACCTATCAGGTTGGCAAAAATCCAAAATTTGACAAGGTACTTCGGGAAGGTCGGCGCAGAAACGCTCTGTCATGCGCTGCAAATTGGATGGGGGTGGGGGGTGGGGAAGTGACACCTGACAAAGTAACCTGTGAACTTAGCTTTGACCGCCAGTCCGTTCCCAGGAATCTGCCCTGAGACACTTCCACAGAGAGGTGCGCAATGGTATTTGAATTAGCAAGAATGGCAGCGATACAAATGCCCACTAGTAGGCAAATGGCAGAATAGGCGGCAGCCATCCGCACTATAGTATTGTTATTCAGCAGACTTTGCAGCATTAAAGAGAATGAGGAAGCCAGCGGCGTTTCCCATGGCGTGATCTCCAGAGATCGTGCGTGTGGGCTGCTACTTTTAGCAAAAATAAGGACTGAAAGGCCCAAACCAAAACTAATAAGAATGTTTTACTCATAAGGAGTAGAAGTGGTGGTGGTGGAGAACCTGGTGGAAGGCTCAGGAGCGGGAAATAGAGTAAAAATAAAGTGAGAGTGATGGTAATAGGGGAAGAAAACAAAAGACCACAACACAACACAGAACTGTGACCGTTGGGAATGTGCTCAGCTTGGCCGTCGTTCTCCAGGGACCCAGTCCTGGCAGGATGGTGG